TTTGTTGTTCTTTTTCTAGCTCCTTTAGATATAAGGTTGGGTTGTGTATTTGAGATTTTTCTTGTTTATTGAGTTAGACGTGTATTGCTATATACTTCCCTCTTAGGACCACTTTTGCTGCATCCCAAATATTTTGGATGGTTATGTTTTCATTTTCATTTGTTTCCATGTATTTTTTAAATTTTGTACTTAATTTTCTGATTAACCCATTTGTTTGTTTTCGTAGGATGTTATTTAGCTTCCATGTATTTGTGGTCTTTCCAAATTTTTTCTTGTGGTTGACTTCAAGTTTCATAGCATTGTTGTTGGAAAATATGCATGGTATGATCTCGATCTTTTTGTACTTATTGAGGGCTGATTTGTGACCCAGTATGTGATCTATCCTGGAGAATGTCCCATGTGCACTCAAAAAGAATGTGTATTCTGCTGCTTTAGGATGAAATGTTCTGAATATATCTGTTAAGTCCATTTGGTCCAGTATGTCATTCAAAACTATTGTTTCCTTGTTGATTTTCTGCTTAGATTATGTGTCCATTGCTGTGAGTGGGGTGTCAGAGTCCCCTGCTATTACTGTATTATTATCAGAGTTCCTTTATGTTTGTTATTAATTATTTTATGTATTTGGGTGCTTTCAAGTGGGGGTGTAAGTATTTACAATTGTTAGATCTTCTTGTTGGATAAACCCCTTTATTATATCATAATAATAAATCATAATACTGCCCTTCTTCATTTCTCGTTAAAGTCTTTGGTTTAAAATCTGGTTTGCCTGGATGCCTAGGTGGCTCAATTGGTTAAGCATCCAACTCTTGGTTTTGGCTCAGGTCATGATGTTGCAGTTCGTGAGATTGAACCCTGCCTTGGGCTCTGCTCTGGTAGCACAGGGCCTGCTTGGGATTCTCTCTCCCCCTCTCTCTGTGCCCCTTCCCTGCTCACACTCATTCTCTTTCAAAGTAAGTAAATAAACATTTAAAAAAAATGTCATTTGTCTGATGGAAGTATGGCTACTCTGGCTTTCTTTAATGTCCTTTAGCATGATAAATGATTCTCTATCCCTTCACTTTCAATTTGGAGGTGTCTTTAGGTCTAAAATGAGTCTCTTGTTGGCAGCATATAGATGGGTCTTGTTTTTGTTTTTAATGTTTATTTATTTTTGAGAGACACGGAGAGACAGAGCATGAATGAGAGAGGGGCAGAGAGAGAGGGAGACATAGAATCTGAAGCAGGCTCCAACTCTGAGCTGTCAGCACAGAGCCACATGTGGGGCTCGAACTCATGAACCATGAGATCGTGGCCTGAGCTGAAGTGCTGAAGTTGGACACTTAACTGACTGAGCCACCCAGGCACCCCGATGGGTCTTGTTTTTTTTTTTTTTTTTTTTTAAATCCGTTCTGACACCCTGTGTCTTTTGCATTTAGTCTATTTACATTCAGAGTGATTATTGATAGATATGAATAGTGCCATTGATTTACTTGTTAAGTCATCGTTTCTGGAGATTTTCTGGTTTTTTTTTTTTTCTAGACTTTTTTGCTTTTGGTGTTTCTTTCCCACTCAAAGAGTCCCCTTCAATATTTCTTGGAGGGCTAATTTAGTGGTCATGAACTCTTTTAGCTTTTGTTTGAGAAACTCTTTATCTCTCCTTCTCTTCTGAATGACAACCTTGCTGGATAGAATATTCTTGGCTGCATATTTTTCCCATTTAGCATGTTGAATATATCATGCCACTCCCTTCTGGACTGCCCAGTTTCTGTGGAGAGGTCTGCTGCTAACCTTGTTTGCCTTCTCTTGTAAACTAGGGATTTCTTTTCCATGCTGCTTTTAAAATGTTTCCCTCATCTCTATATTTTGCAAATTTTACTACAATACGTATTGGTGTTGGCCTGCTTTTGTTGATTTAGATTCAAATTCTCTGTGCCTCCTGGAGTTGGATGTCTATTTCCTTCCCTAGATGAGGGAATTTTTCAGCTGTAATTTGTTCACATAAACCTTCTACCCCCCTTTCCCTCTTTTCTTCTGGGACTCCTATGATATGAATGTTATACTTTATGAAGTTGCTGAGTTCTCTGAGTCTACATTCATGATCCAATATATTTTTTTCCCTCTTCTTTTCTGCTTCATTATTTTCCATAATTTTATCTTGTTTTTAAATTCTTTTTTCTTTTATTTGAGAGACAGAGAGCACACGCCAGGGAAAGAGGTAGAGGAGACAGGGAGAGAATCTTAAACAGGCTGCACGCTCAGTGTGGAACCCTATGTGGGGCTTGATCCCATGACCCTTGGATCATGACCTGAGCTGAAATCAAGAGCCAGATATTCAACTGACTGAGCCACCCAGACACCCTGATAATTTTATCGTTCTGCATTACTTATCCATTCCCCTCCTTCTTCCATCCATGTGTTCATTACATCCTACCAGTTTTCCATCTTGGCATTTTTATTTTGGCCTGACTAGTTTTTAGGTCTTATCTCTGCAGTAAGCGACTCCCTGGTGTCTTCCATGCTTTTCTCAAGCCCAGCTAGTATCTTTATGATTGTTGCTTTAAATTCTGAATCAGGCATATTACTTACATCTGTTTCGATTAGATCCCTGACCATGACTTTTTCTTGTTCTTTCTTTTGGGATGAGTTCTTCTATCTTCGCATTTTGTCTAGGTCTATGTCTTCTTCTCTGTGTTAGGGAAGCCTGTTATGTTTCCTGTTCCTGAGGCTTTTTGAAGAAGAGGTCACATAGTGTCCAGGTCCTTGTGCTTCAGGGAGTTTCTCTGGTATGTGCTGTGTGCACTCTGCTTCTGTGTCTTAGCTACTCTATCCTTCAGACTAGTCATCTGCAGAGGCTCTCCTTGTCTACAGTAGGCAGTGTTTGGACCTTGACCAGAGTGTGGCAAATTTTAACTGGGTGTGCTCTGGTCTCCTTGTTAAAAGAGACCAGATCCTATTTCCACTAAAGCTAGGGCTTTGCAGCACACTGTGGTCAGTAGACTTGGTGGGGTGGGGGGTGTTTATGCTGGCCTTCTGGGGGAGGGGCCCACTACTCTGGTTCTCAGGCACACTTGCCATAGTAAAGAAGCACCTGCAGAGTGCACGGGAGTGGAGCTTGGTGTAAGCAGTTTAGGTCACCACTGTTGGCACTGTGCTGTTACTGAAGTTAGTTTATGCTGTGGGACAGGAGAGGGAAATGGCACCAGCCCTCTCATTCACACTGGAAAGGGGAGTTTGCAACCACCGCTGTCTGGGAAGCCCTCCCAGAAGAGCAAACAGTCTCTCTGTTTTCCAAGTGTCCCTGAGATCCCTGCCTTCACCCTATGTCCCAGCTATCTGCCTACACAGCAGTACAGTGCACCTGTATTGTATCCCAGGCAGGCCCACTGAGTTATAAAACTCTAAACTTTAGGGACAGTGTGGCACAGACGTGCACTAGTCCTCTGGAGAAGGGTCTCACTGGGCTGGTGCTGGTTTGTCTCAGAAAGGCAGTGGCACTGAAGTGCAGGAGCTTGGAGTTTAGAGTAAAGCACAGCAAAAACCTGGTGCCCAGGTTAGCCACCCTCAGCAGGTGTCTCTGCCCTTATGCTAATAAATGGGGCAGTGCAGTGGCACCTGCTGGCTATTTTGTCCCCTGAGAGGCACCACCACCTCTCCCAGATGTGCTCCAAGAAGGGAGAACCATTTCTCCCAGTCCATCCAGGGGATCCTCAGATCACACTGTCTGCTCCTGGGCCTCTGCCCTGCTTTCCTACAAGAGCACCACAGTGCCTACCAGGCTCCACACCAGCCACAGTGCAGACTTCGAAAACTTCAGTCTTTGAGCCCCACTGGTTATAAAAACTCGCCATAATCAGCCCCTCTTGTTTTCCCAGTCAATGACTTTGGGAAAGTGTTTTCCTTGTATGAGTCCCTCTGTGCTTTTCTTTCTTTCTTTCTTTCTTTCTTTCTTTCTTTCTTTCTTTCTTTCTTTCTTTCTTTCT